GGATGTTGGCCCAAAGGGATGGGCATCGCCCCAAGCCTGGCATTGCGAAGTGCAGCTCCAAAGCTTGGAGCGGAGGCTCAACATTCAAACGCATCAGAGCCGCCACCAACGTCTGGACCTGGTGACCGACCTGCAGCTCCAGGCCATGGCGAGACGTTCTGCTACTCACTCACACTGAGGGGTTACCAGGTTTCGCGGTCGCACGATTGTTCCGATTGTTCATTCACCAACTGCCCCACCCAACTTCATTCTCTCTCTTTTGTTGTCTCCATTCTCTCTCTTTTATTGTCTCCACAGAAGGGGAGGGTTGCCGAAGCCCTGCGCTGAGGGCGCCCCCATTGTTCTTCAGGCAGGATGTCTGACAACAACTTTTTCCTCCGGCACCTACAGTGTAGCCTGTCTCTCTGGGATATTGGATTACGCAGCATCGACTAGTTGCGCTCTGAACGAGTCCCTGCGTGATCTCCAACTGATGCTGATGGCTATGAATTACAGCCTTACTGCGTCATGAATCTTTCGGCTTGCTGATTCCCTGCTGCCCCTCTAGCTGCGCATTCGCCAGCCCGAAACTTCTCGACTAAATCCAGCAAAGGCGCCAAAGCGAACAAGTCTGCCAGATCCGTCAGATCGTCGGTGTCGACGAAAGTTGAAAAGCTTGGGCCGCGCTTGTGAAGCTCTATCCTGGGTTTTACGGCGGGTGCTTCGTGCTCAAGTAGGTGTGCGGTGGCGCACTTGAAACCTCAAACCTGTAAGCCTTGCAAGCGTCAAAGTGGGCATCTGGAGACCAGCACCTACATGGCAACCCACATCACCCCGTCTAATTGGGGCAAAGCAACTTCAAGAGCCGTGCAAGGCTTCCGGCTGCCAGCTTGTGGTGGCAGAGGAAGAATCCTGAGGCTCAGGTTTCCATAGAGCATGTGCCGACTCGTTTCCGGAGCTCGCCTCGAGGACTCAAAGGGATTGCACCAGGCTTATGACATTCTGCTATTTCACTCTGACAAGTGTGGGGCTTGGATGGGTGAAGCCTACGGTAGAACTTGGTGTCCTTGGCCAGTGATACATGCTGAGTGAGGGATGGAGGGGTACAACTAGACTACGAATTTAGCCAAATCATTACCAAGAATGGCATGTTTGTGTAAACATTTTAGAATGATTCATGCATAAAAACCCATAAGTGATTGCAAAGTAGTTTTAGGTCTATTTCTATCTTGTACAATACCTGATGTTGGTTCGTTGTCCGAATCGTATGCGTTGTTTGCACTCCCTCGAAAGCTACTGCAGTCTTGCATCTGAAGAACGATGTCCCACTACTCCTGTTATCGCTACACCAACTTGTGAACAGCCGAGCCTTCCTGAGCCACAACACACAGTTGACTCAGTTGACAATTGACAAGGTGCCGAACTCATCAGCCCGATATCCAGCAGAACTCCGACACTCTGATACATGCACCGTATTAATCTCCACCAGAAATGAACATTGCAAGCCCTGCACTTCGAGTCCTGAATTAGGCTTGATGTTTGGTTGGAAGTCGGCAGTATGTAAGCTATACTGGCCCCAGTTTTTGGGAGCTTGCCAAATGAGAGCCTTGTGCAAGAGGGAGCGGCGTTGCATGGCGTGGGGCCTTTTATAGATTCCTCATGGTCGTATGGGGCGTGGAATATGAACGCAAGAAAAAACAGTGCAGCAAGAAAGAAGCCAGACGCCATAATCCTCAACCTCCTGCTTGAGCTGCGGATCGGTAAGCCTTGTGGTAACTTGCATGAAGGTGCCTGAGGCCATCACAGTAGAACAGATTTGCATGATTTGGGCAGCACCGGAGATACTTTTACATCCGCATTCTGATGAACTCTATCCTTCTTGAATTGGCGGTGATAGTTGAATGCAGCTGTTCTTGAAATGCGCTTGGCCTAGGCCCCTGACACCTGTTGTGTGTCGAGCTCAGATCGACTGCCGATGCAAGATTGTGGTGCCCGTGCTGGCAAAACTCAACAGGACAATTACTTGCATCCAATTATACCCTGAGACAGGACCTAGGCAGGACCCGGTGTATGCACTGCTTAACCGCTTCAGGCCCTATGGGGGGAGGGAGAGAGGAATAGAGAGAGGCGTAGAGAGAGAGAGCGAGAGTGAGTGAGCGTGAGAGTGAGAGTGAGCGTGAGAGTGAGCGTGAGGGTGAGAGTGACAGAGAGAGAGCGAGAGGGAGAGAGAGAGAGAGAGAGATAAAGAGATAGACCCACACACACATACACACACACACACACAGAGACACACGCACGCACTCACGCACGCACGCACGCACGCACGCACGCACGCACGCACGCACGCACGCACACACACACACACACACACACACACACACACACACACACGTACACACACACACACACACACCCACACGCACACGCACACGCACCCGCACACGAAGCCCCGAATGCGCCCTTAACGGGTTTAGGGCTTAAAGGTTGATGCCGGCATACTTCATCACACCCACCACGGCAAGGGCAAAGATGGCGGCCACCTGACTTTGGAAGCTAGGCTGTGTAGCTCAAAATCCAGCTCCTAAATCCTAACACGGATAATTAGAATCACCTGTCCGGCTGACCCATACCGCCCATACCCACTCTACCCTGGAAAAGCTCGAAGCCAGTCAATCGCCAGCCTTAGCGCCAACCGCTCCTAGCAATACGGCTTGTTGCTTGGTCACCTATGACAAATGGGTATGACGGGGCCACACTCGCACAAGGCAGGCAAGGATTCGGTCGGAAGGTCCACTCACTGCGGGCCCTGTTTAGGGCCAGCGGTCCTTTATGGTCCTTGTTGTGCGCACAACCCTCGAACCTAGACCAAGGCCCTTAAGGACAAGCTGGTAGGCCCCAGTTCAGCTGAGCACTGCAGGTCTAAGGCACTATGTGTGGGTCTAAGGTTGAAGGGCTCATTCCTGTGCCTTCGTGCCCACTACCGTCTACACTCCCACACAACGGACCGTCAGGAGGCAAAGACAACCCACTTCTTGGAGCACAACCTCCTTGTCTTCACCACTCTGAAAGTCCAGGAAGCGAAACTATCATGTGCTCAGGTTGGCAACTTGAAACTTTGTCGGAGCTTTCCACAATCCCATGGGAACCTCTTTGCCCTATTTACCTTGGTTCACTTCAGGACAGTGGCCAACCATTCAAAATCTCCGTTCGTGTAGAAGTCGGCGATGGCTTCGCGGGCACGCTGTGCATCAGGAGCAAGGTCAGAGATGGGCCGAGAGGTGGTGAGATGGGACGGCCGATGCCCAAGAACTCGGGAGTAGCATAAGGTGAGCTCCCTGCTCATTCAAAAACACCTTGAGGCCGCGTGCTTGAATTTTGATTTTTTGCCACCGGCACTGCGCACATCGCAGGTGCTTTTCGACACTGGCAACTGCCTATTGCCACTCCCGTGCAAACGGCCGAGAGCTTTGCGCCACAACATCAAAGCGCTTACGGTCTAGGAGTTAGTGCAGCGTGAACCCGGAAGCTGCCACAGAAAGGCTTCAGAAAGGCCGCTTGAGTTCTTGCTAGGCAGATCGACTCCTGTGATGTACCACAGTGGGGGGGCTAGAAGACTTCGTCGAGACCCGGACCATGCCCCAAACACTCGACTGCCACATGCTGGTGGCTTGGAAACGATAATTTACCTCGTCATTCTCAAAGCCAGTACTGTATAAGGATCCATTCTTTGGGTTCAAAGGGTTTCGCGTCTTTGCACTGGTGTAGGCAGTATAGGGTTCGGTTTTTCTCTAGGGCCTTACAAGGGACTAAGGCTTGTGCTCCTTAAATACGGTTTAAGGTTGTAAGGCTTTAGCGGTTTGCGGAGGCTTGTTCGAACTGAAGCCGAAACCCCGCATGGCCGACGAGCTGCGATAGTTGAGGTTATCATCGCAGAGATAAGCATCATGGACTGGCTGTCCTGTGTGCAAGTGGCTGGCTGTCGCAAGTATGATTGCCTGCTTGTGGAATTGTTGCAAAATTGCGCGTGGGGCAGGGGTCCAACTGTCGAGGCTCATCCATGCAATGAGAGCTGCGCACGGCACATCATGAACCGTTGAGCTTATCCCGGCATCTGCTCAAAACGCAATGAAACGGTCTAAAATCAGCAGGTCGTAGGCTTCTAGTTCATGTTTGGAGTTTTCGAGGTTTGCCGGCTCCTATACATCTAATAGGTGGGGAGTTGTAGCTGTCATGCCAGTCTTGCTATCCTTCGCCGGGGTGAAGCCGGATCTAAGTCATCCCAACACCTATATGTACGAGGACAAGCAGGCGCTGTGTGTGAGCTCGTCAGACGCATATATAGCTTTGTTTCAAGTTACGGTACTTCTGGGCGCATGAACGCCATGCTAGGACTAAACTCCCAGATTTGTTGGGAAATTCGGGCGGGTCTGATTTGTTGCGGTACTTCTGGGAGTGTGAAAGTGTCTCATGCCGGGCCAGGGTTTGGAGACTGTACGTTTGCTTCTTAGGCGTGCAGCCAAAGGGTTCCAGATGCCACGGGGCAGCATCGCGCCGAGGGCAGAAACATAGAAACATGCAGATGTGTTCTGGGGAAACAATGGACAGGAGAGCGTAGCATCCTGACATCGCCCTTAGAAGTACTCCTGCTTATTACGAGCAATAGTGCTTGCATTATGCAAGTGGGTTTATGATGTGACAAGAATGACACTAACAAATAAAGTGAGAATGATGCTGATCATGCCGGCTCTTGTGGCAGAGGAGTGCTTCGATGTGTTCTTATGAGCCAGGTAGACATGATAGACTTGGTCTGATCATGGGGAGTAGGGTGACGAGGCGACAGCCAACTCATTGGTTTGGAAATACTGGGATCTGGCATGGCAATGTGAGAATGAATGCCTTCTGAGGACAGTTCTCGGGAAGTCTTACGGAACAACTTGGCGATGCTGTTGCTGCGGTCAAACCTGTCAAAACACTTGTTAAGTTATGAAATGATCCCGGCAACTTGGTCTTGATGGACAGTCCGTGCTGTCAACGAAGAAGGAGCCAAGGTCCAGGATCGTGAGGAGCACTATCTGGACGACAATGCTCAGGGAATTCGCCTTTCCGAACCCTCATGATTCCCGATGCCACATCCTTTTTGCGTCGAGCTCGCATCATCACCTCGCTGCCTCGCCTGCTCTCTCTGCTACAGCTCGAGCTGATCCATATGCCAGTACTTATTCCAAGGACCTACCGGGTGCCAAAGCCATGCAGTTCCTGACTGCAATGGGCCCCACAGCCACAAACCACAGAATATGATTTTTTTCTACCAAAATAGGAACTCTCCAGCTAGAATGCAGCATGCGATTCTGGAATTATTTTGCCTGCGGCAGTCGCCAGGGCTTGTCATGCGCGATCGCGATCAGAATCACGTACCTTGCAGGTCTAAATTCTGGTTGAAGGTGGTTACTGTCAGTGTCGCGATGCTCTCTAGTTCGCAAAAGACATGCGCGAAGTATGTTTGAGAACATGGATCCAGCGCCTCGTACTGACCCAAATGACTGATAGAACTACTGATACAACTAAACCAAGTGAATTATTGCACAAGAGCTATGGGAAAGTGATAGTGAGGTGGGTCGGTAGGCAGTGGGAGACCCGAATAACCCCAACCTGTGTGACCAAGTCCGAGACTGAGACGTACGTTAGGGCTATTGTAGAAGCTAATACTGTTGCAGTGTATGTAGAGGTTGCAGGAGGCTAGTATTTCACGAACATGAAGCGGTCGTGTGGTGGGCCCAGCGGCAGCAAGATGGTCACGAGCACGATGGATGTCGATGCTTCCGAGAATAATGGGGAAAGCACAATCAGCGTGTCGCGGATGCTGAACATCACTGCATACCATTCCTGCCGCATTGATGCGTGCAAACATCTGAACTACACGACTTTGTCCTGGAATCCTCCTCTCCGGGGAGAAACAAAAAACATCAAATCCAGACCGCCCAAACTGCCAAAACCCTCAAAGCCGATCAATCCCCAGCGATCTGCGGCTCCGGAATCCAGACTCAGACGCTCGCTCACTTGCACATTCTCAACAACAAGAGTCTTGCAATAGGGATGCCGACCGTACGGATGCGACATGGGAGTTCGTGTAATCAATGCTTTATGCTTTAGTGTGTCATTTGCTGAACCAATTTGAGACTTCTGTTTCAATAGCACATTGAGTGAAATCATGCTTATTCCATCTGAACTGAATCGGTTTTAACAATCAACCCTGTATTACTACATATGATGTAAATGAAAAGATTTGCGATTACACTCGGTGTGTCATGTTCAGTTGTCTGTTCCGAACTGCAAATCAAGATTCCTTGCCCGGTCGAAAGCGGAAGGTTAGGACGGTAGCCGCGCGAATGAACTTGACCTCAGGTGTGTCAGAAGTCTCCAGCGAGGCATTTTTGCTTGCAAGCTCGCACCTGCTGGAGCATGAACACCCACTGTAAGGCCGACAAAAATGGCTACTTGAAAGGGGTCATGCGGGAGCGCTGATCAGTTCTGCATGCAATGCAGGGGGACCGAAAAGTTGGTAACAAGCTGATAACATTGGTTCCGGCTTCAAATATGCACCAAAACCATGACTCCAAGCCCCCTTCTACGCTCCCAAAGAAGGGCTTTGGTTCGAAGGCATTGTGTGGCTCTAAGCTGCTGTTGCATTCCAACGGAGGTGTCTTTTTCTGACATTATGTGCTGTAGCATGGGGCATTGGAACTCATACTTCACGTTTGAGCACGTTTGCACAGAACATGTTTTCTCTGAAAGGACAACTGGGGGGGAGGGGGGTGACTTAATTGGCTCATGTATTCATGCCCCCTAAAATCCAAAAATTCTAGAGCTTCAACAAATGTCGCAAGCCCAAACGCCGCTTGATGCTGTGAATTGAAAAGCAACCTATCCAGCGGCCACAGCACGTCCAAGACTTGGAAACAGTTTTCTTTTGCTGCGCTACCTGGGATCTTTGCTGGAAACATGTTTGTTTGCTCGTTTGTTGGTTGTGCTTGTTTGTGCTCGTGCGCTTCTGAGAGCACGAAGTGAGAGGGCGAGAGAGAGACAGAGAGTGAAAGAAAGAGTGTGTGGGTGCGTCTGTGCGGTGCGTCTGCGCGTACGTCTGTGCGTGCGTCTCTGTGCGTGCGTCTCTGTGCGTGCGTCTCTGTCTGTGTGTGTGTGTGTGTGCGTGGCTGTGTGTCTGTGTGGCTGTGTGTGTGTCTGTGTGTGTGTCTGTGTGTGTCTGTGTGTGTCTGTGTGTCTGTGTGTGTGTGTGTGTGCGTGGCTGTGTGTCTGTGTGGCTGTGTGT